CTTTGTCAAGACGTCTCCTACCTTCCCTCGTTTTCAGAATTTTCAATTTAAGGTTGGTCTTCACTACTACTATTACACCGTCTTTACCTTTACCTACTATTGCGTTGAAGTCTCCTGCCCTTTCACTAAACTTAACACGTCTTCAATAACTTCATAAATCGCTTCTACGTCTTCATCACTGTAAGATGATGTAGGCATATAGATCTGCAATAATACCGTTTTTACCTGCTTGGAGTTTAATTTAAGCATAATTTTCCTACCCCTTTTTTGTAAATAATTTTCTACACCTCGTCCTGCTTTCCTACGCATTACAGTTCCAACCTCCGAATTAACTTCCACCGATCCTGTATGTATTATTCTAAGGTCTCTCCAGAAGTCCCCAGCTTCGGGCGAACGGACTTCACTAATGCCTGCTATATCTAATTCTAATCTATTCATCTAAAGTTTTAAATTTCCCAATTTCGCTACTTGCCTCATTGTCCTAACATTCCACGCTTCGACTCGTGAAATATTGCACCTACCCCTATTGCACTTATTGATGACATTTAATCTGTGTGATACGCTTTACTGGGGATCATAATGTGGTGGTTTACTGTTGCCTTCCGCATCGCAGTATTGTGCATCAGAGTGCCATACCGATCTTCGTGATCTCTGCCACCCTGAGTACTGAAAGAGCTGTTGCCCTCTTTCAGAAACTTGTCTTAGTCTGGTTTATCTTTAAGATTCCTCCCATTATGGTTGAACCTATGGTCCGGTTCCCTAAATCATCGAAACCCGCAAGCCGATCTACCTACTCTAGTTTGTATAAGAGTTTTGTCAAGATTCAAGACCCGTCGGATCTGTGGAAATCGCTACATCCGAAAAATTAATTAACAGAATATGCCGAACTACATACGTGAAATGATCAAACAAAAGAAAAAAACTGAAGAAACGATACCACAAGTTCTTCGACCCATCACTAAAAACAGAATTAAACAAACTACCACCCATCAATCTACTAATCACAAACAACGGAGAAAGTAGAACAGTTTGCGGAATACCCGCTGCCATTATTCAGTTACCAGATTGATCCTTAAAAAAATGTCCGATGTTACTGGTATAACATCTAGAGTGGGTGCATCGCATCTCTTATATAGTATAGTCGAAACATGATAACGAATTCTTCAACAAATAATTCTTACACCAGAGTTATATCGTTTGTCTTGTTCTTACTAACGAAAGATATTTCATTAGAATAAATTGAATAGAATGAGACGGTCGATAACTCGTTCGTCTTATTTGTACCTAAATAAGATTCGTAAACTTGTCTGATATGCTTAGTTCCCTTAGTATATTTGTGGGAATAATTATTTATCTGTATACATGATTTTATTTCAACTAACCTAATGAATAAAAATTTAGCAATTGATTTTTCTTGTAAAATCAAAGTAAATGCTTGATATCCAATGAATAAAAACTGAAGCAATTCAAAAGTTCAAGAATTACTTCTAAGGAAAGCTATTTCTTAAAAAATAGAAGCAATTACTTACATTTGCTTAAAATATTATGAATAAATTGAGGAACCGCTTTTTCTAGTGTAGCAATTTCTTTAGACTTTTAAGGTAGGTCGACCCCTGCATCATTTGCTTGAACAGTGGTGAACAGTTAACTTTGGTTCGCTACGGCATGCCTAACATATTGTAGCGAGCACGAGTGTGCTTGTAAGCGATCGGGCATACGTGTGTCTGAGCGGCTTATATATTCGCCGACTAACCGCGGGCGCCTTGCTTCAGGTGCGCCGTATTTGTAAATATGTGTGTCGTACCTGCGTTCCGGGAAAGCAATTAAACAGTTCAAAGAAAAGGAAACTTTTCCGGACGGCTCGAGAAGGTTCGAGAAAGGAAGCAGGGGAGTATTTAAAGGAAGAGACGATCGCCAAGAAAGAGTAGAAATAAATTGACAGCTCAGTGAATAGTGATATAGTAACAGTACTGTAAATAAATAGAGTAATTCATCACTTAAGTAATTTAATAGTGTTTTTAAGTCCTTTAATAATAATTAGTGAAAATAGATAGTTTTTGTCGTTAAAAGTTAATTTGTTAAACCCACGAACATTACAACTGGTGTCAGGTGTGGGGTTAAGTAAAAGACATTACAATGGCAAAGAATTTGTACGAATTAAAAGTAGCTAAGTTAAGAAGAGAATTGGAAGAACGGGATAAAGCGACAAGCGGTAACAAAGCCGAACTTCAGTGGCGGCTCGCCGAGGTGTTGAAAAAGGATGGTCATGATCCTGAAACGTTTCTTTTCGAAGACGAATTGTCGCAAATGATGAAAAGTTTGGAAAGCAAATTAAAAGAAAATAGTAAAAGTTTGAAACGTGAATTGGAAGAAAATAGTAAAAGTTTGAAACGTGAATGGGAAGAAAATAGTAAAAGTTTGAAACGTGAATTGGAAGAAAATAGTAAAAGTTTGAAACGTGAATTAGAAGAAAACAGTAAAAGTTTGGAAAATAAATTAGAAGAAAAATTGGAAGAAAACAGTAGAAGTTTGGAGAATAAATGGGAAGAAAAATTTAATAAGAATATGCAAGAAACAGAAGGGAAGATAAAAGTGCTGGAAGAATTGATTTTTAATGGAAAGACAAAACCAATCGAAGGGGATGTTGGTGCATCTAGTACACTCAACGAAGCCAGCCAAATCAGCCAAGCGAGCGGTATAGAGTCTAGAACACGAGTAAAACCACCAACGATTGACGGAAGGACCACATACCACAAACAATTTGAGGCAGCTGCTAAGGCGAATAACTGGGCGCCTGGAGAAAAAGCCACTGCGTTGACCGTTGAACAGTTAGTAAAAAAGTTGGAGTTGCGCTACGGCAAGTCTCATTTAACAGCGGTACATCCATCCAACTGAAAACCCGTCAGCAGAAACCTATCGAAATCCCTACAAGAATTTGAGGCCGATATTGCGAGACTGTCTCGACTGGCCGACTCCAGAAGAAGTGATGGAAAGGTTGGCAGTGGAGGCATTTACTGATGGACTTCGGGACAGTGACACTCAACAACGAATACACCTTGACCGACCTAAGACGCTAGCGGATGCATTGTCTCGAGCACTGGAGTACGAAAGTGTTAAACGGGCCCATAACAAACAGGGAAGGGTTCGGCTACTGCGTGAAGAAACGGATTCGTCAAAATCTCTAGAAGAAACCGTATGCCGAATAATTTCTAAGTTCGATAAAGAAACTCGAAAGCTAAGATGTTGGAATTGCGGCGAACTAGGTCATATGAGGAGGCAGCGTATAAAAAGTACTCCTTCCCCAAGTACTCGACGTCAACAGCAGGTAAATTCTGAAACAGTACCTGTTGAAATAAGTAGAGTGATTGACAGATACTGTAGGAATCTAACCAATGAACAGAAATTCAAAGTGCAACATCTACTTTGTCAAAATGCCGACGTCTTTGAGACCGATAAGAATTATAGGGGAAGGACCAATATCGTAAAACACAAGATCAATACCGATAATGCGCAGCCTATTCGTCAAAGACCTAGACGATTGCCTCTGGCCGAAAAGGAAGAAGCAGAGCGAATAATCCATGAAATGCAGGAGACCGGCATAATTGAGCCATCCTCAAGTCCCTGGACATCACCGGTAGTATTGGTAAAGAAGAATGGAACAACCCGTTTTTGTGTGGATTACCGACAGCTCAACAACGTAAACTAAGAAAGACAGTTATCCACTACCACGGATTGATGACACCTTGGGTATGCTTTCTGGCTCGAAAATGTTTTCCACACTCGACTTGAAGAGCGGAGACTGGCTAGCTGCTTTAGATGCTGTCGACAAGGAAAAGACCGCATTCTCGGTCGGCACGGGCCTTTGGCAGTTTGCAGTTATGCCTTTTGGTTTATGTAATGCCCCGGCGACGTTCAAAAGGTTGATGGAGAAAATCTTGAGTGATCAAATTGGAAAGACCTGCTTGGTATACTTGGGATGACATCATAGTGATTGGAAGCACCTTTAATGAACACCTGCAGAATTTGCAAGCGGTATTCCAGCGGTTACGTGAGACCAATTTGAAACTCAGTCCGAAAAAGTGCCACTTTTTCCGCGAATAAGTTTCTTACATGGGACATGTTGTATCAGAGAAGGGCGTGGCCGTGGATCCAGAAAAGATAAAGGCGGTGAAGGAATGGCCAGTGCCTGAAAATGTGCACGACATAAGAAGCTTTTTGGGATTGTGCACTTATTATCGTCGCTATGTTTACGGATTCGCCAATATCGCCAAACCTTTGACACGTTTAACCGAAAGTGACCGCAAATTTCATTGGGATTCGGATTGTCAAACGGCATTTGAGACTTTGAAGCAGGCTTTAATCACAGCTCCCGTACTGGTATATCCTCGGCCCAATGGAATGTTCATTTTGGACACTGAGGCCAGCAATGTGCGAATGAGAGCCGTTCTTTCGCAGTTACAAGATGGCCAAGAGAAGGTAATCGGCTATTTTAGCAAGACCTTATCAAAAGCCGAAAGAAACTACTGTGTCACTAGACGAGAGATGCTGGCTGTAGTCAAAGGTGTAGAAAATTTTTTTAATTACTTATATGGACGAAAATTCACCTTACGCACTAATCACGCAGCTTTAATGTAACATTAATTGTTTGATTTTTATTGTTTATTAGGCGTAGTTATTTAATTATTAATGAGACCTGATTACCTTTATACTGCTAAATTTACATTAACTAAGAAACTGAGATAAACCAACTTGTAGAGCGTTTTTACAGCAATATCTTTGAACAGATAAGCGAATAATTTTTTAATAACTACTGTATAAATTATATATTTATGTAAATACCCGTTTGATGTAGGTATTCTTCTACTTAACTAAAAATTATCTGCAACCGATAAACAAAAGTCGTGCGAATTAAAACGGTAAATTGAAGTTAATAACAAATGAATGAATTTTATCTTTTAAGTGTGGGTAGATGATATTGATAAATAGGGTTTACTTGAAAAAACAATTGTATATTGAGCAATTCAGTCCAACATGTCGTTGCTGTGGTGCGCTGTGTTCCTTTGGTTTGGATTTATTTCCACTCACATACCTGTGACCAGTGCAGAAGTGGGTGAGTGTAATTACGTTTAAGACGACACGACGTCTCCAAGCTAACAAAATCTAAAAAATATTTGAAATTAGCGAAACACGTTTCGCAACTGTTACGAAATTGTTTACGCACGTCATATTCACTTAAAAGCATTGTACATATATTAATTGAATATCTTTCAGGCGTTTTTCATATTAAAATGCCTACCTGCTTTTGTTCTTTTTTATTGTAGTTTCGAATTCAATAAACCTATTTTTAACCATATATACAAAACTGTAGCAAAAATATATAAAAAAAACAATTCAATTATGATAATTACAATAAACTACAGATAGTAGATAAATGAGATAATTAGATATCTTTGAAAAGTTCTACCGGTATCCTATTAGCAATAGTAAGATAAAACACTTGATTATTTAAAAAAAACGCCACTCAAGAACTTCATCTAATCTAATTTTTATTATCTTCAAAGAACGCCAAACTGTAACTGCTTTGTATTTATAGGAGTAGATGCTCCACATATAATAACATTCAAAAATAAAACGAACTTCTTCAGAAATTATATTAAATTAAATGTAATTTGAAGTAGTGTGAAGGCAGGACTTCACCAAACATCTCCGCAGGCGAGATCCGGCTTACCGCAGTTTTATAGCGGCTTTGACGGGAAAATGAATTTGAGTATACCATCAGACTGACTTGGTTAGTTAGCTTTTGTTATTGGGCCTGTAACTGATAACCAACGTTAAAATTAGTGGATTACATAGGTTTTGGGTACAACCCAGTTTAAGTGAAAACGGTTTCACGGCCGCCAGCAAAAATACGTCAGGCTAACCTAGTTTGGTGAAGCACCACCTTGAGAAATAACAAATATTGTCAGGAACAAACACCGCAGAAGAAACAACGAGCAATGGTTTGCAAAATTGGTTATACCATATTCATCCAATTTTTATTATAAATAACAAATTATATTGTAAATAAAAACAGATAACCCAGCCATATTCGCATTTTTATGTTATTAGACTACGTCATTTGTTATTTCATTTAATTGTTTGTGAAGTCGTTTCATATTGACCTGTTTGTATTTTGATATTGCAATCAGACTCTTCAATTTTATTTATACTTATTATGAGAGTCTATGTATATTATGTATAATAGGTGTTTCCAGCATTTTTAATCTTGTCCGCACACTTTTTTTTATTCTTCGCTGTTACAACGATAATCCGACAGTCGCTGTCTATTAGGAAAATATTTCAAGTACACTCTATTTTTAATTTTTATTAATACAATGTAAGTTTTTTTTTTGCAGGAATATGATGCAAAAAATGTCAATTAAAATATTAGGCAATCTTAATCTGGGGTGCATGTTGTATTTACACATAAAACATGATTTAGCTCCTTGCAGCTTGCAATGCATAATCATGAAGGCATCTAACTTGAAACTCATTTTGGCAGATTTTTAAACCTATTGCTTTACATATTATGCTTTCAAACAAGAAAACCAAATGTAATTTTATGGAACTGAACTAATCGAGATATTGTTACTCAAAATTTCACACAAAACTTTCGGAACATAGACATAAAGAATGGACTGCGCATTCTCTATTACGCTATACAGTAAATACAGACAAAACGCGTGAAAGAGACAAACCAGTCGTGCGAACACCAGTTGTCTTTTTCTAGAATTTTGATTAGTTTATGTTACGATCTTGCATCAGCGAATGAATGAGGTAAAGAAAGAGGAAAAGAGACAGGTATATATTTCATTCCTTCTAGAGAGTGATCAATCATGACGATATTACTCAGTCCATTCTATACCTATGTTCTAAAATAACCATTAACTTAACAATATTCATGCGATGATGGCGCCATCAGTGTTAGGTTTCTGATAGTTTTATGTAGAATTTTAGGTGACTGCATTGAAATGTATACTTCGTACATGAGGGTGAGGTCGCTGCTCGGAGCGGGTATTTTATCTCTGTTGTTCGCATTGTTCTTAACGTGTGTAAGAACGTGTTTATTCAAATAATTTAACTATTTTATATTATCTTGTAGCGGATTACGCCACATACTCCAAAATTAATATCGACTGTTTATGTAGCACTTATAATAGTTACATTTTAATTATAGTCATCCGCTTACCATAACCTAGTTCAAAAAATATTCTAAACATCAAACTTTTAAGGTTAGAATATGCCTGTCAGAAAGTCAGAATAAATACCAAATTTGGGAATTTAAATAGGTCCACTTCTTTGCATTTGTTTAATTTGAACTGGAACTCATTTGATTTAAAATCCCGTTTAAATCACAGCATTCTAGAATGTCGCTCTTTTATTAATTTTCATCACTTTATTAGACTTCTTAGTCATCAACTAATTCCAGAATGTCTTTCAGCATCCGCTATCTCAATTTCACCGATTTCGTACAGCTACCTACAAAACAATAATATTACATTAAAAATTTAAAAAACCCTCGATATGGATCATAGCTAAAAATACTTTGGATCAAGTCAACCTTTCAAACAAAAAAAATTAAATCAAAATCGGTTCATTCGTTTAGGAGCTACGATCGCACAGATACACAGACACACACATTAAACAGTAAAACCCATGTATCGTATTGTAGCGACCACGAGCGTGATTGTATGCGATCGGGCATACGTGTGTGTGAGCGGCTTATCGATTCGCCGACTAGCCGCGGGCGCTTTTCTTCATGTGCGCCATATCTATAAACGTGTGTGTCGTACCTGCGTTCCGGGAAAGCAATTAAACCGTTCAAAGAAAACGAGACTTCTCTGGACGGCTGGAGAATGTTCCCGAAAGGAGGCAAGGGAGTATAAAAAGGAAGAGACGATCGCCGAAGAAATAAATTGACCGTTGCAGAAGTGAATCAAGAGATAAATTGACAGTGATAGAAGTGAAATAAATAGAACAGTAGTGTGAATAAATAGAATAATTACCGAAGTTTAGTAATAATTTAATAGTGTTTTTAAGTTTAATAGTAATTAGTGTAAATAAATAGTTTTCTTCTTAAAATTTAATTTGTTAAAACCCACGAACATTACAGTATCAAGATCTAAAACGTGTTTATTTAGTAATAAGCTAATATCTTTTAAACTGTTTTATAAAATCAGCGCTAACCTTTAAAACGTTAAATCTATCGCTATTTTTTCGGTCTTCAACAATTATTTAAAGGTGCAGCAGTGTCCAGGTCCAGGCAGGAAAAAAGTGTTTACAATTAACAGCTATCTGAAACCTAATAGTCCTTCTGTGGGCTTGTTTTTATTTAAATAATTATAGAAAGGCGGGTGCAGCTATAACAATACAGTTAATATCTAATACCTGATTACTATCCAATTACTCTTAGTTTTCCATAGCTCTAACTAAGAAATTGACAAACATACAAACGTACCTACGATAAAACGGTATTACACACGATTTCTCCATTCATCTATATTAAATAAAAATTTTCAGTTACAGTGAAAATATACTCAGATATTTATATTACGCAACTTCTAAACTATTTTATTATTTGCGTCAGTTTCCATAATTACAATGAGATAGTGTTGTTTTCCTTTTAACTTTCGTTGTAATATTTTTTCTAGATCCGTTATCCAAAGCAACTTTCAAATACTATTTGAACGAGTATGCTTATCAGAAGTCAAAATCACAATTTAGAGTTTTGAACAGCGAACTCATACCGAGAAGTAGTTCCAGTACTTGTAGTCTATGTAAAGCGGGGGCTGCAGGTTTTATACAACTGAGAAGAATTGGTGTTAGAAAACGCACTTTTGTGAAAGTTGCAAAATATGTATGCAAAGTTGCTGGAGTAGATGACGATGTCTGTAATGGGGCTATAAACTTAAACGTAGTAAGTAGTAGATATTAATTTGATTTTAACAATAACGATTTTATAACCAAGAAAAATAATCTAAAGACTAAAGACTGTCTGGGGTTGTGGCTGGTTTATTTTGATGTGTCTTTTACCTTGCGGAAGGTACACTCAATTAGGGCATGGGGGGGGGCAAAGCTACCGATACCAGTTCTATCTGGAAAGTTAGCGAAACCCCCTCGATGCGGATGGGATAATTAAAACCTTATCACCAGAATAAGCAGTTAGCAGGCTTGGAATTCGACCAGATACGCCGCTCAATCATCAAATCATCACTTTAATTGTTAACAACCTAAATAACTGATTTTTACTTTTTCAACATAAATAATTCAACTGAATTCTTCTCAGGGCACTATGTGAAACATTTTATAAAATATAAAATTAAAAAATAAAAACCCTTGGTAAGATTTTCACACCATTTTTTGGATTGTGAATAGTCATGGTATTTGAAGTTTTTATTATATATTCGGTATTTACCCACGAGACGGCTTTAATGATAATTTCGGGATAATTTAAACGATTACCTTTTAGGTTAGAATGTAAAAAGATTTACACAGTCTGAAACATTACTGAGGCTGCGTCCTCTATGTCCAATATAAATCACGCAATGGTTGAATATTCAATATTCAATGAGTTTCGAACCGTACCCATTGTTTACCGCTAGTTTTATAATTTGTAGTTCTTTGTGGTAATTATCTTTAGCTGAGATAAGGTTAAAAAACGGTGTGTATTAAGGAATGTAAAGTGCTTAGTTTTATCATTTCAGATTGTTTTGAGTGACTAAGAATTAAACTATCAATATACGTAAGTAGAGTTCCTGTGTACACTTGCAAAGATAATTTTTTGAAGGGTCTATTTAGAGTAGGTATTATCATTTCTATACCTGAGGTAAATTGTAGATATATCTGATTACATTATATTTATGAAAGTTGAAAATTCTTTAAGTTATAAATCGTTGTCCTTTCATATGCAAAAAGGTTATCCACAAATATCTATCTACAACAGGTGTGGTTAACCTGCAGTCCGCAGGCCGCATGTGGCCCGTTTTGGACATTTTTCAGGTTCGCAAGATTCATTACAGTTTTACAAAATATATTTATTTTATAATGGTCAATGTATTATAAAAATATATTATTTGTGCATCCAAATATATTCAAAAATTAATTGTCAAAATTATGACTTTAAAAAAATATTTGTAGTGTATTTAAATATGATATGGAGATATATAATCTTATACGTGACCCATAGAGTTATGATTCATTTCCAAAGTGGCCCGGAAGATCATTTGGGTTGACCACTCCTCATCTAGACTAAATATTAGGTAGGGAGTCAAACAGGGATGCACACTGTCACCACCACTTTTTAATTTATACATCGAAGACGCGATAAACATCATTAAAGACGGTACAAGAGATAGTAGGGATAGATATACAGGGACAAAAGATTAGTATGTTTAGATTTGCAGATGATATAGCAGTACCAGCATTTAGCAAGGAGGAGTTAGTGATAGATTTAAATAAAAACGTTGTGTTATTGACAAAACAATACTATATGAAAATAAATAAAAGTAAAACAAAAATACTGCACTGGAAGAAAAAGTAAGAAAAGACCGAATATATAGATAGGCACCAAAAATTAGAAGAAGAATCAGGACGGAAGGAGTAGTAGGGATATAAAGCAGAGGATAGCGCAGGGTCGGATCGCAACAAAATGCTCGCGAACGGTTAACATAGAAATTCGAAAAAGGTTGTTAAAGGTGTATGTTTTAGAGCACGGTTGCGAAACATGACAACGGGCGCAGCGGAAAAGAAAAGGTTAGAAGCATTTGAAATGTGGTGTTACAGGCGAATCATGAGGATACTGTGGATAGAGAAGGTTACAAATGAAGAGGTATTAGAAAGAATAGGAGAACAGAGGACTCTATGGAAGTCAATAAGGAATAGGCGATATAGATTGGTAGGATACCTTCTCAGACATGAAGGTCTAGTCAAAGAAATATTAGAGGCGGAAACAGAAGTTAGGAGGGGTAGAGGTAGACCTAGTTAGATTACTGTTCGGAGATGGATAAGGATGTGGGTTGCTCTAGCTTTAGGGAAATGCGAAGATTAGCTTAGGATAGGAAAAATTGGAGGTGCGTGTCCAACCAGTCTTAAAAGATTTTTCTCAAATTTTTTTTTAAGTAGAGATGTTAGTTATCGTTTTATAATGTCATTAATTGGGTTGTTGTCTAGATGTAATTGGCAGATTCGTAACTTATTATTTAAGATTTAGTTAAGATTGGGAATGTTCAGAATTCTATAAAATGTTTTTAACTCAAGTTAAAATTTATTTGTTGGATTAGTTTTTAATTTATTATTGTCGAACACAGTTAATGAGTAAATCCGATAACAATATAGAGAAAATCATTGAATACTATAGTAAAGTACAAAACCGAGCGAAACCGCTGCTCAGCAAGTAAAGAATTGCTTGCCATAGTAAAGTCCGTAGAACATTTTCATCGGTATCCATACAGACAGGGCTTTCTAATAAGGACAGACCACGCCGCACTTTCTTAGTTATTGAACATTGTTCTACAACAACCGCCAAAGTTTTTCCAATCTTCATATTTCAATACAGTATCAATATCAATGCGGACGCACTTTCGGGAAGACTGTGTGGAAGTTGTAAACACTACTGTCGAGTTGAGGAACGGGACGTCTTATTATAGTCGGAAGGACTGCAAGACGACGAGTGGATCGTAAGCAAATCTTCGAAAAGCCCAGCAGGATGACTCCAATATGAAACCTGTATGAGCAAGAAGATGTGAAGTCAAAATAAGAGCAAATTTCTGAGAGGAGCAAAAGTATAAAGGCCTTGTGGGCGCAAAGAGGAAACCATGGAAAGGTGATGATGGGAAGGAAACAATTGTTCAGCTTTCCAACGGAAAAGAGTCGTCAGATTTTGGAGGAAACTCACAAATATCTCTAAGAGTAAACAAGGATTTTGGTTAGGGATGTCGAACAATGGTATTGGAAACGTACGGTTTGTGCCACTGCTAAAGTACCATGTACGAAGATTACAACCTGCGGGCCCCATATGAAACGAACGCAATTAACGTGACCGGTCCATTTTTTATCAGAAGGGATGTCACTAGATACACCTGGTGGCTCAAGAATATTTCAGCAAGTGACCAGATATATCGGCTATCCCTAATTAAAAGGCGACAACTGTCGGAAAAATTCTTGTCGATAACTACTCCAGTCGTTTTGATATACCACTATCATTGCATTCCACCCGGGGAAGCGATTATGAGTCTTAGATGTTTCTAAAAAGATAAGCAAGAGCAGGACGACCTCGCAACATCCCCAATTAGTTGAAATGGTTGAAAGATTCAATCAGACTCTTGCAAAACATTTATACATGTACTGATTGAAGTACCAAATTATGTGGATCAGTTGAGAACACTACACATTACTACAGCAGAATTGTGATTTGATGCGAAGCCAAATCAAGTTGACTAGCGATCGGATGAAGGGGAGGTATGATTTGAAGGCATACCAGAGTGGTTTTCAAGGGGAAGACTTGTCTTTGTATAACCCTTAGCGAACGGAAGAACTTTCTTGGGTTATATGACATCATATACATGACACACAACTTGGTTCCGGAAATAAAATGAAAGTGGCCCATTTAAATAGATTAAGGAATTATGAGGAGGATACCTTCAATTGGGTCTAATCGGGACGGAGAGAGTGTTATAAAGGGAAAATAACTGTCGGATAATGCATCAGCTTTGAAAGTAACCTAATATCGAAAACGCAGTCATTATGGTTATTAATTTTAGAATAGATAATAAACTGTCATTTTCGTACAATTTTAAGTTGTATTAATAGAAATAAGTAATCATTGTGCAATTCACAAGAGTATCTTTTGGACTGTAACAATAGTAATGATATTACCCTTTGCAACCTTGCATAGAACAAGCTTATTTTACTACCGTCATGTTTATTTTAAGTATTTAAGTTGCCTTTTTCTAAAAATAATAGCAGTTTGCAAAACGCTGTAGCGGTATCATAAATTATTTTTTTACTGCATTGGAGTATGGTGTGAATATTAGTAAAAAATATAAAAATATAACTAATATAAAAATAGGAGACAATAACTAGAAGAAGTCTCTGATTTTCGATATTTAAGGGTTTTGATAACTCAGGTTATCGATAATCGTTATAACGATTATTTATTAAAGGTAAATGTTTGAAGCACGACTTTTTATGTGCGTGAAACGTGGAGCCTTCACCTTCTAAAAGAAAAAGTTAAAAGCGTTTTAGAGATGGTGTTATAAGAAAATATTGAAAATATCTTATATAGGTATATAGATATTCTAAAAACTACAAGAATAGAGTGCGTTATGGAAGTCAATAAGAAATAGGCGAGGTAGGCTTGTAGGATTCCTTCTCATGCATGAAGGCCTAATTGGAGACACATTACAAGCAGAAGCAGTAATGAAGAAAGGTAGAGATAGATGTGCATTAGATTATTGTTAGCAATAAGTTGAAGATGTAAGTTACTCGAATTTGGAAGAAATGCGAAGATTGATTCAAGATAGGAAGACGTGGACGTGCATGCCCAACCAGTTTTTGGACCAAACATTTTACGATAATTTGAGGAAAAGAAATTATTGGAAAAGAGGTATACGTACCTAGATTCCAAACATGCAAAAAAAATTTTTGATGTCGCAACCCAATTCTTAAGGAATCTTATGGAAAATAGTTTCAATTGTTTTTTTGTTTTACTTGTGTATATGTATAGCTATAGATAGATATTATTAATATTCAATTTAGTTGTTTCTGTTATCTGGAAGTCAATCTTTAAAAAAATAAATTTGAGAATAGTAATTGTATTAAATGTTCTTATACTAGATAAACTGTTAGAATTTTCCTTTACGGTGACGACACACTATCGTAAGAATGTAAATGGCATTGCAAAGTTCTAAAGTTTCATAATTCTGTATATACGTATATATTATATATATACATGTGTAATACATTGGTTTATTCATTTTTTATTTATCAGGACGCTTTACTTTACATCATCGACAACACTCCAAAACTGGAAGCAGCCAGATTTTGCGCAGTATACTTACAATCTTCAGGTTGCGAACAACCTGATGGCTATGATTGGAGTATAAACATTCCTCAGGGAGAATCGGTTCCTGTCGAGGTGAGCTCCTTAAAATTTCAAAAATCTTATAAACGTTCAATTCGATTTTTTCGTCCTTAAAGGTAAATGAGGTACCTTCTAAACCACTCAAAATAATTCATATAAGTGACATACACTACGAACCCGAATATGTTGTTGGCAGTTTGGCTGATTGTACAAAACCTGTGTGTTGCGTTAATGCAAGTGGATTTCCCGAAAATGGGAAAGGTACTGCAGCAGGAATTTATGGAATGTATGGAGACTGTGACACTCCCTGGGTCACTGTCTTAAGTACCTTTGAAAATATTGCTAAAAATCACGTAAGTACCTACTTATTAATGTTTTTGGTTGAAATATTTATTTATGAGCATACATTTTGTTTAGATGTACAGTACAGCCTCGATAATCTAATTATTGCAAAGGATTGTTCGTATTTAAGATGTAATCGTAGCTCTGGACAAACTTTTGATAATATTAACTTTTTCCTTTATTAATAATGTAAATATTTTTCCGTTTTTCCGTTTTAACGCCATTTCATAGCTTTTAACGTGATCATTTCATAAAATAGACAAAATGTAATATTTTGCACTTCTCCAGCGATCGCTTCTCGACCAAGGTCACGTTGCTGCGCCTGCGCTGTTCAGACTTGTTCGGACTATCAAGGTTTGTTCGGATTAGCACATATTCATTTTATCATGGTTGTACATCCAAATAAAATGTATGCTACAATATGTATACATATATATATATATTATGCATCGACCTTTTAAACAGTAACATCCTAGATATCATAGGTAGGCCTGAGGCACAGTATTATCTTTTACATCAGACAGTCAAAGTTTAATTTACAATTGAAGTGTTCTTATTTTTTGTTTTTCTCTAATTTGGACTGATTTTTTCATCACCATAATAATAATAATAATTTGGTCACTTGGGCCTCAAGGGTTGCTTTTCTTTATAAATATATGCTTAAACGGGCTATTTTTGAAGAGACTGTATTTTTAAATTCAAAACCTATGGAAGTACTACATAAGCATATGGAACACGACGTAAATCTAATCTGTGTTTTAAACTCTTCTGGTTAATGAAATTAAAAAGCTCTTTTAATTAGCCTGATGTCGACCTTATATACTATACGGGAGATACAATACATCATCAAATATGGAATACTTCTGTAGAATCGAATAGCAGAGATCTTAATCAACTCTTATTGAAACTTAACGAAAGTTTTCCTAATGTCCCAGTTATCCCCATTATTGGAAATCACGAACCTAGCCCGGTAAATGTGTAAGTATGGGAAATATTCACTTATATAATACACGAAGGTTGTACCGAAAATTTTCGTGCCGTGCATTTTCTTAAGGAAAAAATATAATTTCATTTATTGTAGCAGAATAATGAATTTGCAATTAAACCTAAAACCTGCTGTTAAAGTTTTAAAAAATTAGGTTTGTGGTAAGTACTACCTACTAAGGTTTATAAGAATATTTATGGAAACGAGGTACTAAACAAGAGACAAGTGCAATTAGCCTTCTGTATATGTCAACAACACAATCCTTGATTTTAATAAAGATTACGAATTAGTTATTATTCTAGCACAATGTCTGATATTTCCCGGCCCATGGTGCGTAGTGGTTAACAGTAACGTCTTATTGACGAAAAACATCTATTCATTAGCTAAAATCCAAAAGTTATTATATATTATAATTGTATCTACTTGTGATAAATTCGTCTTGGTCACGTGTGTTATTAAAGAATTCTTGAGGTGATTCTTTCCAAACTTTCTAAAGAGCTTTTTTATGGCGAGCAGTATCCTATGACTTTGAACCGCCAAAGTTTTCGCTTCATTACTCTCCATACACCATAATCCGTCAAAATAGCATTGAATCTTCTAGGAATCCATCAACCATCCGAAATGAATTTTAAATTGGCTTACAAGAACTCAGCGATCATCATTGAAGTACGTATGTGATGGCGAAGAATCATCTTGGTGGAATATGAAATATTTTTTGTATAGAATCGTGCCGAAAGTTTTTCTTTAAAACAATGATGATACAGAAGTTTAATTTGATCTTAGCTTCAGGTTCAACAAAATGATGGTATACTTTACCGCTAATGGAGACCTCAGCCCAAATCATGAATCACTTTCCGTGACTCTCTTCTTTCGTAGATCTCCATTCTCGAGTTCTTCTGAGTTCTACTCACAAATAAATACAAATTATTTTCCGAAAATTCAATTAGGTATATATATGTAAAATAAATAGTCACTGAAAAATTGTTGCACGATCACTTTCATCCCAATAATTCCACCGTATACATTAAGAGACAATTTGTGCATTAGATATAAGGGCCGCGAAGGAGGAGGTGGGTTCTTGGAGTTGGTGGGGGATCTCGGGGTAACATTACATTTGCTTAGATATACCTGGGAGATATACAGGAATATGCGACGTGTGACTAGGGAAAGGGGTCCTGAGAGTGGCAAAAACAACGTGACATAATATATGAACGACCCTTAAACAAATAGTTTAATAAAAAGAAGATGGGAGGAGTCATAATAGTTGTGCTTCAAAAGACATCTATTTTCCTGAAAATACGTTTTATCCGTAAAAAACACAAATAATATCAAGACGTAGAGGCCAGTGGCGGTGTTATAAACGAAAGTTGAAATCATTTTGATTTACTTCCTAAACCAGATACTTGTAACAAATGGAATTTATTTTTACGGAGCGTATGGAAATACCAATTTTGCTAACATTCACAGATAATGGTTAATTTGTCGGATACTGTTCTAGTCAAAACCAAATAGTGATTTCCCTTATGGATTATGCTTCTACGTTGTTCTATTTTATTTACAGAACACAGGTTTAGTTCTTTTGAATCTCTACCTTAAATTTTTGCGTTTGGATGTGTACGCTTGGGAAGATGCATAAATTAAAGATAATTTTCATCACTTTTCCCTAAACAATACTGCAACAAATCATACCAATCAATACAATAGCAGTAATCAAACACCTACCTTATAAATACGAGTAAATGACAATAATTACTGAAATGACATAAGCGGATAATTATTATTTCATGTCATTCTTCTTGTTAATCTCATTATTCAATTAAAGGCGCAGAATTTTACACCGAATTTAATGATGTAATAAAATACAGATTGAGGAGATACCTAAGATGTATTGAATGTGAGAAGAGTTTTTAGAAATCTTTTCAAAAATGTGAAACTATTTCAAAAACAGATGATAGAGAAGGCACACTTTTAAAACACCGATTTCTAATTATAAATAAATTATATAAAATAAATTAAAAAATGCGATAATATACAGGACGTTCCATTAAAAAAATGAAATGGTTGCTGCACCCCCTAAATAAAATGTTTACAATATGAAAACTATTATTTCATGCAACTTTTATTTCAGTATTTTTTTTAGTTTTGAATTTGTTTTTAGCGTACTGAAAAGCTTGTCCGTACAAACCGAAACAGGAACCGTGATAACATTCTCAACGGCAGCAGGAGATCATCCTTAAATTCAATCCAAAGGTCATTCAAATTTGAATCAACTGATAATATCGATCATATTCTCATACTTCGACACAGTTAACATTGATGATTTGGGAATGGATTCTGCGCTCAATGACTGTCCCGTAACTTTTTTGCAAAATATTCTTTTAAGGATTTTTTGAGATTCCCTAGATATTCATTTATGGTTTTACCCACACTTGAAGTTACTTGTAACTAATTTTCTTTTAGAAATTTAATTAGAAGAGAAAAACATTGGTAACTTTTTTGTTCAGCACATTTAATCCAGAAACCAAATTTGTTTCTTATCATTGTCACAGAAAATATTTTGTCTTTCATTGAATGCGTAGTAGTGCTTCTTCTATGTAAGGACCTGCTGATTACGTTAAGTTTATTGAATATTTCGACCGAATAATCCAATTCCATTATCCATTTCTCGTCATACATTAGTTCGACATGACTGACAGTGGTAACAATTGGTTGTCCCATTTTTCCACTCGAAAGCCATCTCACTTCCGTGTGTAGAATTGATTAATGCTGACTTCCCATATCGTCACATGCTTTTTTAAAGAGTTTTGTTTTGCGTGATCATATAATAATGACGATAAATAAACAAAATGGCTGAGAAAGCAAGAATTAACTAATGAACAATTGTATCCAACTTATTGTATCTTAATGTAGTAAGACCGAATGTCATATCCTCTCTTCTGGCATCTATGTAGTTATAGTGGTTCGGTCATGAAAAATTAGCCGTTGTTATGGTGAAATACAGAACTGTAGATTTTCGCAGAAGTTTATATACTTTTATTAGGAGAAAAAAGTCGTATCTCGCGGAACCCCTGCGACCCTTCCGCTAAACATCAGCAGAATACCATTTGGGAACCGCTGCTATAGATATCATACCTCGACATCAACTCACGCTGTAAGTACACAAAAATGTGTGCAGTATAAGAAATTTCTGTCCACAAAGGAAGGATAAAGATAAATACCGGCGCATTACTATCGGTAGAGCCCTCGTGTAATGACAAGCATTTTTAATTGGGATCATTAGTTTGAAGAATAATTTACATGAATAATAATTTTGCAGGTTTGCACCTACTAGCATAGAAGAAGCAAATTTATCAAGCAATTGGCTGTACGAAGTTTTTGCTAACAATTTGAAAAGTTGGTTTCCTTCTACAGTCCTCAATACCTTAAAACAAGGTGGTTACTACACAGTCAAGATTAAGAATAATTTGAGAATAATCGGTCTTAATAGTAACCTCTGTATAAATGAAAATTGGTATTCATTTTTAAATTTTATATGTTGATAAAGAAAAATTCACCATCATGATTTAAGGTGGTTGTTATATCAAGATTGGTACAAAGACCCTGGTGGTCAATTGCAATGGTTGGTAGAAGTGCTGCTGGAGGCTGAAAAGAATAAAGAATTCGTTCATATCCTTTCTCACGTTCCATCAGCAAATGGTGATTGTTTAAAGGTCTGGAGCAGAGAATATAGAAGAATTGTTGAAAGGTAAACCTTAATATTATGTTATTTGGTACTACTATTATTCTTCATATCAAAAATATATCATCATCATAAGGTCGTTAGCCCTAAGACTGGTTAGACACACACCACCACTCTTTCATATCCTCAGCTAATCAGCGCATTTCGCCAAAACTAGAACAACTCACATCATTAACTATTTGCGAATAGTAATCTAATCTAGGCCTATCTCTACTCTTAACTCCTGTTTATGCCTCTAATATGCCTCTTACTAGACATGCCTGAAAAGGTGTCCTACTGATCTATCCAGCCTATTAAAAATTAATAGGAATACTCACCCCTAATTACCACAAATAATTTTATTTGAGCGGACACGTATTTCGCCCACTTCATACGTGGGCATTATCAGCGCGAGACCCCAATCACTTCTTCTAATTTTTCGTCTCCTATCTTTATATTCTCTCTTTCCCTACTTTTTATTCCCTTGCATACCAGAATTTTTGTTTTACTTTTATTTATTTTCATACAGTACTGTTTTGTCAATACCGCTTCCATTTTATTTAAAGTTATTTCCAACTCCTCCTTGCCCTGTATATCTATTCCTACAGTTGTACTTTCTTTACTGATGTTGATGGCGTCTTCGATGTATAGATTGAAGTGTAGTGACAGTGTGCATCCCTGTCTAACTGCCTTCCTAACATTTACTAAGAATATTAAGGCACCAGGTGTAAATGCGATACTCTAAAACATGCAGAACAAGAGGTTAGAGATTGTATGTTTAAGCTAGTTAATCACATTTACGAGACGGGGAAATTTCCCGAAGATTATAAACAGAACAGAACGTGGTAGTAACTATACCTAAAAAGACAGGGGCGGATAGATGCGAGACATTTGGAACAATTAGCTCAACTTCCCATGCGTCAAAAATCTTAGCTAGGATGGAAAAAGTAGCGGAAAAACTATTAGAGGAAGATCAATTTGGGTTTAGAATAAATAGAGGAATACGGGAAGCTATTCTAGCTTTACGGGTAACAATAGAGAAAACGATAGAAAAAAGAAAGAGTACGTAAATAGGAGTTGTAGATTTAGAAAAAGTTTTGGCAATGTTAAATGGGAATAGATGCTAATATATTTTAAAAATACAGTGATGAGTGACAAAGATAGAAGAGTAATACTTAGTTTATATAAAGAGCAGTACAACTATAGGGATACAGGGTCAAAAGATTAGTATACTTAGATNGAAACATGACAACGGGCGCAGCGGAAAAGAAAAGGTTAGAAGCATTTGAAATGTGGTGTTACAGGCGAATCATGAGGATACTGTGGATAGAGAAGGTTACAAATGAAGAGGTATTAGAAAGAATAGGAGAACAGAGGACTCTATGGAAGTCAATAAGGAATAGGCGATATAGATTGGTAGGATACCTTCTCAGACATGAAGGTCTAGTCAAAGAAATATTAGAGGCGGAAACAGAAGTTAGGAGGGGTAGAGGTAGACCTAGTTAGATTACTGTTCGGAGATGGATAAGGATGTGGGTTGCTCTAGCTTTAGGGAAATGCGAAGATTAGCTTAGGATAGGAAAAATTGGAGGTGCGTGTCCAACCAGTCTTAAAAGATTTTTCTCAAATTTTTTTTTAAGTAGAGATGTTAGTTATCGTTTTATAATGTCATTAATTGGGTTGTTGTCTAGATGTAATTGGCAGATTCGTAACTTATTATTTAAGATTTAGTTAAGATTGGGAATGTTCAGAATTCTATAAAATGTTTTTAACTCAAGTTAAAATTTATTTGTTGGATTAGTTTTTAATTTATTATTGTCGAACACAGTTAATGAGTAAATCCGATAACAATATAGAGAAAATCATTGAATACTATAGTAAAGTACAAAACCGAGCGAAACCGCTGCTCAGCAAGTAAAGAATTGCTTGCCATAGTAAAGTCCGTAGAACATTTTCATCGGTATCCATACAGACAGGGCTTTCTAATAAGGACAGACCACGCCGCACTTTCTTAGTTATTGAACATTGTTCTACAACAACCGCCAAAGTTTTTCCAATCTTCATATTTCAATACAGTATCAATATCAATGCGGACGCACTTTCGGGAAGACTGTGTGGAAGTTGTAAACACTACTGTCGAGTTGAGGAACGGGACGTCTTATTATAGTCGGAAGGACTGCAAGACGACGAGTGGATCGTAAGCAAATCTTCGAAAAGCCCAGCAGGATGACTCCAATATGAAACCTGTATGAGCAAGAAGATGTGAAGTCAAAATAAGAGCAAATTTCTGAGAGGAGCAAAAGTATAAAGGCCTTGTGGGCGCAAAGAGGAAACCATGGAAAGGTGATGATGGGAAGGAAACAATTGTTCAGCTTTCCAACGGAAAAGAGTCGTCAGATTTTGGAGGAAACTCACAAATATCTCTAAGAGTAAACAAGGATTTTGGTTAGGGATGTCGAACAATGGTATTGGAAACGTACGGTTTGTGCCACTGCTAAAGTACCATGTACGAAGATTACAACCTGCGGGCCCCATATGAAACGAACGCAATTAACGTGACCGGTCCATTTTTTATCAGAAGGGATGTCACTAGATACACCTGGTGGCTCAAGAATATTTCAGCAAGTGACCAGATATATCGGCTATCCCTAATTAAAAGGCGACAACTGTCGGAAAAATTCTTGTCGATAACTACTCCAGTCGTTTTGATATACCACTATCATTGCATTCCACCCGGGGAAGCGATTATGAGTCTTAGATGTTTCTAAAAAGATAAGCAAGAGCAGGACGACCTCGCAACATCCCCAATTAGTTGAAATGGTTGAAAGATTCAATCAGACTCTTGCAAAACATTTATACATGTACTGATTGAAGTACCAAATTATGTGGATCAGTTGAGAACACTACACATTACTACAGCAGAATTGTGATTTGATGCGAAGCCAAATCAAGTTGACTAGCGATCGGATGAAGGGGAGGTATGATTTGAAGGCATACCAGAGTGGTTTTCAAGGGGAAGACTTGTCTTTGTATAACCCTTAGCGAACGGAAGAACTTTCTTGGGTTATATGACATCATATACATGACACACAACTTGGTTCCGGAAATAAAATGAAAGTGGCCCATTTAAATAGATTAAGGAATTATGAGGAGGATACCTTCAATTGGGTCTAATCGGGACGGAGAGAGTGTTATAAAGGGAAAATAACTGTCGGATAATGCATCAGCTTTGAAAGTAACCTAATATCGAAAACGCAGTCATTATGGTTATTAATTTTAGAATAGATAATAAACTGTCATTTTCGTACAATTTTAAGTTGTATTAATAGAAATAAGTAATCATTGTGCAATTCACAAGAGTATCTTTTGGACTGTAACAATAGTAATGATATTACCCTTTGCAACCTTGCATAGAACAAGCTTATTTTACTACCGTCATGACAAGAGATAGTAGGGATAGATATACAGGGACAAAAGATTAGTATGTTTAGATTTGCAGATGATATAGCACTATTAGCATCTAGCAAGGAAGAGTTAGAGATAGATTTAAGTGTTATTGACAAAACAATACTATATGAAAATAAATAAAAGTAAAACAAAAATACTGCACTGGAAGAAAAAGTAAGAAAAGACCGAATATATAGATAGGCACCAAAAATTAGAAGAAGAATCAGGACGGAAGGAGTAGTAGGGATATAAAGCAGAGGATAGCGCAGGGTCGGATCGCAACAAAATGCTCGCGAACGGTTAACATAGAAATTCGAAAAAGGTTGTTAAAGGTGTATGTTTTAGAGCACGGTTGCGAAACATGACAACGGGCGCAGCGGAAAAGAAAAGGTTAGAAGCATTTGAAATGTGGTGTTACAGGCGAATCATGAGGATACTGTGGATAGAGAAGGTTACAAATGAAGAGGTATTAGAAAGAATAGGAGAACAGAGGACTCTATGGAAGTCAATAAGGAATAGGCGATATAGATTGGTAGGATACCTTCTCAGACATGAAGGTCTAGTCAAAGAAATATTAGAGGCGGAAACAGAAGTTAGGAGGGGTAGAGGTAGACCTAGTTAGATTACTGTTCGGAGATGGATAAGGATGTGGGTTGCTCTAGCTTTAGGGAAATGCGAAGATTAGCTTAGGATAGGAAAAATTGGAGGTGCGTGTCCAACCAGTCTTAAAAGATTTTTCTCAAATTTTTTTTTAAGTAGAGATGTTAGTTANAGCTATAGATAGATATTATTAATATTCAATTTAGTTGTTTCTGTTATCTGGAAGTCAATCTTTAAAAAAATAAATTTGAGAATAGTAATTGTATTAAATGTTCTTATACTAGATAAACTGTTAGAATTTTCCTTTACGGTGACGACACACTATCGTAAGAATGTAAATGGCATTGCAAAGTTCTAAAGTTTCATAATTCTGTATATACGTATATATTATATATATACATGTGTAATACATTGGTTTATTCATTTTTTATTTATCAGGACGCTTTACTTTACATCATCGACAACACTCCAAAACTGGAAGCAGCCAGATTTTGCGCAGTATACTTACAATCTTCAGGTTGCGAACAACCTGATGGCTATGATTGGAGTATAAACATTCCTCAGGGAGAATCGGTTCCTGTCGAGGTGAGCTCCTTAAAATTTCAAAAATCTTATAAACGTTCAATTCGATTTTTTCGTCCTTAAAGGTAAATGAGGTACCTTCTAAACCACTCAAAATAATTCATATAAGTGACATACACTACGAACCCGAATATGTTGTTGGCAGTTTGGCTGATTGTACAAAACCTGTGTGTTGCGTTAATGCAAGTGGATTTCCCGAAAATGGGAAAGGTACTGCAGCAGGAATTTATGGAATGTATGGAGACTGTGACACTCCCTGGGTCACTGTCTTAAGTACCTTTGAAAATATTGCTAAAAATCACGTAAGTACCTACTTATTAATGTTTTTGGTTGAAATATTTATTTATGAGCATACATTTTGTTTAGATGTACAGTACAGCCTCGATAATCTAATTATTGCAAAGGATTGTTCGTATTTAAGATGTAATCGTAGCTCTGGACAAACTTTTGATAATATTAACTTTTTCCTTTATTAATAATGTAATAATTTTCCGTTTTTCCGTTTTAACGCCATTTCATAGCTTTTAACGTGATCATTTCATAAAATAGACAAAATGTAATATTTTGCACTTCTCCAGCGATCGCTTCTCGACCAAGGTCACGTTGCTGCGCCTGCGCTGTTCAGACTTGTTCGGACTATCAAGGTTTGTTCGGATTAGCACATATTCATTTTATCATGGTTGTACATCCAAATAAAATGTATGCTACAATATGTATACATATATATATATATTATGCATCGACCTTTTAAACAGTAACATCCTAGATATCATAGGTAGGCCTGAGGCACAGTATTATCTTTTACATCAGACAGTCAAAGTTTAATTTACAATTGAAGTGTTCTTATTTTTTGTTTTTCTCTAATTTGGACTGATTTTTTCATCACCATAATAATAATAATAATTTGGTCACTTGGGCCTCAAGGGTTGCTTTTCTTTATAAATATATGCTTAAACGGGCTATTTTTGAAGAGACTGTATTTTTAAATTCAAAACCTATGGAAGTACTACATAAGCATATGGAACACGACGTAAATCTAATCTGTGTTTTAAACTCTTCTGGTTAATGAAATTAAAAAGCTCTTTTAATTAGCCTGATGTCGACCTTATATACTATACGGGAGATACAATACATCATCAAATATGGAATACTTCTGTAGAATCGAATAGCAGAGATCTTAATCAACTCTTATTGAAACTTAACGAAAGTTTTCCTAATGTCCCAGTTATCCCCATTATTGGAAATCACGAACCTAGCCCGGTAAATGTGTAAGTATGGGAAATATTCACTTATATAATACACGAAGGTTGTACCGAAAATTTTCGTGCCGTGCATTTTCTTAAGGAAAAAATATAATTTCATTTATTGTAGCAGAATAATGAATTTGCAATTAAACCTAAAACCTGCTGTTAAAGTTTTAAAAAATTAGGTTTGTGGTAAGTACTACCTACTAAGGTTTATAAGAATATTTATGGAAACGAGGTACTAAACAAGAGACAAGTGCAATTAGCCTTCTGTATATGTCAACAACACAATCCTTGATTTTAATAAAGATTACGAATTAGTTATTATTCTAGCACAATGTCTGATATTTCCCGGCCCATGGTGCGTAGTGGTTAACAGTAACGTCTTATTGACGAAAAACATCTATTCATTAGCTAAAATCCAAAAGTTATTATATATTATAATTGTATCTACTTGTGATAAATTCGTCTTGGTCACGTGTGTTATTAAAGAATTCTTGAGGTGATTCTTTCCAAACTTTCTAAAGAGCTTTTTTATGGCGAGCAGTATCCTATGACTTTGAACCGCCAAAGTTTTCGCTTCATTACTCTCCATACACCATAATCCGTCAAAATAGCATTGAATCTTCTAGGAATCCATCAACCATCCGAAATGAATTTTAAATTGGCTTACAAGAACTCAGCGATCATCATTGAAGTACGTATGTGATGGCGAAGAATCATCTTGGTGGAATATGAAATATTTTTTGTATAGAATCGTGCCGAAAGTTTTTCTTTAAAACAATGATGATACAGAAGTTTAATTTGATCTTAGCTTCAGGTTCAACAAAATGATGGTATACTTTACCGCTAATGGAGACCTCAGCCCAAATCATGAATCACTTTCCGTGACTCTCTTCTTTCGTAGATCTCCATTCTCGAGTTCTTCTGAGTTCTACTCACAAATAAATACAAATTATTTTCCGAAAATTCAATTAGGTATATATATGTAAAATAAATAGTCACTGAAAAATTGTTGCACGATCACTTTCATCCCAATAATTCCACCGTATACATTAAGAGACAATTTGTGCATTAGATATAAGGGCCGCGAAGGAGGAGGTGGGTTCTTGGAGTTGGTGGGGGATCTCGGGGTAACATTACATTTGCTTAGATATACCTGGGAGATATACAGGAATATGCGACGTGTGACTAGGGAAAGGGGTCCTGAGAGTGGCAAAAACAACGTGACATAATATATGAACGACCCTTAAACAAATAGTTTAATAAAAAGAAGATGGGAGGAGTCATAATAGTTGTGCTTCAAAAGACATCTATTTTCCTGAAAATACGTTTTATCCGTAAAAAACACAAATAATATCAAGACGTAGAGGCCAGTGGCGGTGTTATAAACGAAAGTTGAAATCATTTTGATTTACTTCCTAAACCAGATACTTGTAACAAATGGAATTTATTTTTACGGAGCGTATGGAAATACCAATTTTGCTAACATTCACAGATAATGGTTAATTTGTCGGATACTGTTCTAGTCAAAACCAAATAGTGATTTCCCTTATGGATTATGCTTCTACGTTGTTCTATTTTATTTACAGAACACAGGTTTAGTTCTTTTGAATCTCTACCTTAAATTTTTGCGTTTGGATGTGTACGCTTGGGAAGATGCATAAATTAAAGATAATTTTCATCACTTTTCCCTAAACAATACTGCAACAAATCATACCAATCAATACAATAGCAGTAATCAAACACCTACCTTATAAATACGAGTAAATGACAATAATTACTGAAATGACATAAGCGGATAATTATTATTTCATGTCATTCTTCTTGTTAATCTCATTATTCAATTAAAGGCGCAGAATTTTACACCGAATTTAATGATGTAATAAAATACAGATTGAGGAGATACCTAAGATGTATTGAATGTGAGAAGAGTTTTTAGAAATCTTTTCAAAAATGTGAAACTATTTCAAAAACAGATGATAGAGAAGGCACACTTTTAAAACACCGATTTCTAATTATAAATAAATTATATAAAATAAATTAAAAAATGCGATAATATACAGGACGTTCCATTAAAAAAATGAAATGGTTGCTGCACCCCCTAAATAAAATGTTTACAATATGAAAACTATTATTTCATGCAACTTTTATTTCAGTATTTTTTTTAGTTTTGAATTTGTTTTTAGCGTACTGAAAAGCTTGTCCGTACAAACCGAAACAGGAACCGTGATAACATTCTCAACGGCAGCAGGAGATCATCCTTAAATTCAATCCAAAGGTCATTCAAATTTGAATCAACTGATAATATCGATCATATTCTCATACTTCGACACAGTTAACATTGATGATTTGGGAATGGATTCTGCGCTCAATGACTGTCCCGTAACTTTTTTGCAAAATATTCTTTTAAGGATTTTTTGAGATTCCCTAGATATTCATTTATGGTTTTACCCACACTTGAAGTTACTTGTAACTAATTTTCTTTTAGAAATTTAATTAGAAGAGAAAAACATTGGTAACTTTTTTGTTCAGCACATTTAATCCAGAAACCAAATTTGTTTCTTATCATTGTCACAGAAAATATTTTGTCTTTCATTGAATGCGTAGTAGTGCTTCTTCTATGTAAGGACCTGCTGATTACGTTAAGTTTATTGAATATTTCGACCGAATAATCCAATTCCATTATCCATTTCTCGTCATACATTAGTTCGACATGACTGACAGTGGTAACAATTGGTTGTCCCATTTTTCCACTCGAAAGCCATCTCACTTCCGTGTGTAGAATTGATTAATGCTGACTTCCCATATCGTCACATGCTTTTTTAAAGAGTTTTGTTTTGCGTGATCATATAATAATGACGATAAATAAACAAAATGGCTGAGAAAGCAAGAATTAACTAATGAACAATTGTATCCAACTTATTGTATCTTAATGTAGTAAGACCGAATGTCATATCCTCTCTTCTGGCATCTATGTAGTTATAGTGGTTCGGTCATGAAAAATTAGCCGTTGTTATGGTGAAATACAGAACTGTAGATTTTCGCAGAAGTTTATATACTTTTATTAGGAGAAAAAAGTCGTATCTCGCGGAACCCCTGCGACCCTTCCGCTAAACATCAGCAGAATACCATTTGGGAACCGCTGCTATAGATATCATACCTCGACATCAACTCACGCTGTAAGTACACAAAAATGTGTGCAGTATAAGAAATTTCTGTCCACAAAGGAAGGATAAAGATAAATACCGGCGCATTACTATCGGTAGAGCCCTCGTGTAATGACAAGCATTTTTAATTGGGATCATTAGTTTGAAGAATAATTTACATGAATAATAATTTTGCAGGTTTGCACCTACTAGCATAGAAGAAGCAAATTTATCAAGCAATTGGCTGTACGAAGTTTTTGCTAACAATTTGAAAAGTTGGTTTCCTTCTACAGTCCTCAATACCTTAAAACAAGGTGGTTACTACACAGTCAAGATTAAGAATAATTTGAGAATAATCGGTCTTAATAGTAACCTCTGTATAAATGAAAATTGGTATTCATTTTTAAATTTTATATGTTGATAAAGAAAAATTCACCATCATGATTTAAGGTGGTTGTTATATCAAGATTGGTACAAAGACCCTGGTGGTCAATTGCAATGGTTGGTAGAAGTGCTGCTGGAGGCTGAAAAGAATAAAGAATTCGTTCATATCCTTTCTCACGTTCCATCAGCAAATGGTGATTGTTTAAAGGTCTGGAGCAGAGAATATAGAAGAATTGTTGAAAGGTAAACCTTAATATTATGTTATTTGGTACTACTATTATTCTTCATATCAAAAATATATCATCATCATAAGGTCGTTAGCCCTAAGACTGGTTAGACACACACCACCACTCTTTCATATCCTCAGCTAATCAGCGCATTTCGCCAAAACTAGAACAACTCACATCATTAACTATTTGCGAATAGTAATCTAATCTAGGCCTATCTCTACTCTTAACTCCTGTTTATGCCTCTAATATGCCTCTTACTAGACATGCCTGAAAAGGTGTCCTACTGATCTATCCAGCCTATTAAAAATTAATAGGAATACTCACCCCTAATTACCACAAATAATTTTATTTGAGCGGACACGTATTTCGCCCACTTCATACGTGGGCATTATCAGCGCGAGACCCCAATCACTTCTTCTAATTTTTCGTCTCCTATCTTTATATTCTCTCTTTCCCTACTTTTTATTCCCTTGCATACCAGAATTTTTGTTTTACTTTTATTTATTTTCATACAGTACTGTTTTGTCAATACCGCTTCCATTTTATTTAAAGTTATTTCCAACTCCTCCTTGCCCTGTATATCTATTCCTACAGTTGTACTTTCTTTACTGATGTTGATGGCGTCTTCGATGTATAGATTGAAGTGTAGTGACAGTGTGCATCCCTGTCTAACTGCCTTCCTAACATTTACTAAGAATATTAAGGCACCAGGTGTAAATGCGATACTCTAAAACATGCAGAACAAGAGGTTAGAGATTGTATGTTTAAGCTAGTTAATCACATTTACGAGACGGGGAAATTTCCCGAAGATTATAAACAGAACAGAACGTGGTAGTAACTATACCTAAAAAGACAGGGGCGGATAGATGCGAGACATTTGGAACAATTAGCTCAACTTCCCATGCGTCAAAAATCTTAGCTAGGATGGAAAAAGTAGCGGAAAAACTATTGGAGGAAGATCAATTTGGGTTTAGAATAAATAGAGGAATACGGGAAGCTATTCTAGCTTTACGGGTAACAATAGAGAAAACGATAGAAAAAAGAAAGAGTACGTAAATAGGAGTTGTAGATTTAGAAAAAGTTTTGGCAATGTTAAATGGGAATAGATGCTAATATATTTTAAAAATACAGTGATGAGTGACAAAGATAGAAGAGTAATACTTAGTTTATATAAAGAGCAGTACAACTATAGGGATACAGGGTCAAAAGATTAGTATACTTAGATTTGCATATGATATATCATTATTAGCATCTAGCAAGGAGGAGTTAGAGTTAGCTTTAAATAAAATGGAAGCGGTATTGACAAAAATACTGTATGAAAATAAATAAAAGTAAAGCATTAAATACTGGTATGCAAGGGAAGAAAAAATTAGAAGAAGTGGCCGATTTTAGGTGTCTAGGAAGTCAGATAAGTCAAGACGGACGGAGTAGTAGGGATATAAAACAGAGGATAGCGCATGGTCATGTCGCCTTCAATAAAAGTCATTTCTATGTTCGCGAACGATTAATTTAGAAATTCGAAAAAGGTTGTTAAAGGTGTAAGTTTAGAGCGCGGCGCTGTACAGGTGTAAAACATGGATAGTGGACGTGGCGGAAAAAAAGATTGGAAACGTTCGAAATGTGGTATTACAGGCGAATGATGAGGATACCGTGGATAGAGGTAGTAGAAAGAATAAGAGACTAGAGGACTCTATGAAAGTCAATAAGATACAGGGAAGATGAGTTAGTAGGACACCTTCTCAGGCATGAAGGTCTAGTCAGTGACATATTAGAGACAGAAACGGGAGTTAGGAGAGGTAGAGGTAAATCTATATTAGATAGTTAAGGATGTGGGTTGTTGTAGTTTTAGGGAATTGCGAAAATTAGTTCAGGATAGATGCGTTGAGGTGCGTATCCAACCAGTCTTAGGACTGACGACCTTATGATGATGACGTCCATAAAAGAAACATTTCATTTCCAGTATAGCATACTATTTAACCTGAATGCTTAAAAGCTGCCTTTGAAACCGCGTTTCACATTGCTTTACCCTTTATCTATTGATCCGATTTTCACCATAAATAAATCTTGAAATTATACAGCAAACGATTTAAAGATGAACTTTAAAGAAAAATTACGTAAAAAAAAAGATTTACTGATTAATAATTACAGTTTGGAATATTATTTTACGTATAATTTTAAATTAACTTGTGACAAATAACTTTTTGGTGGAGGTTGAACTTTATCCTAAAAAAAATTTGTGAAATTTTGCAGCAAGCCTGATTTGGAAATGAATTCACCTACATAATCATTGCTTCTTTTGGCCAGGTTAATTTGGCATTTTCGGCAGTAGCATAATTCAGGACGCCTTTTCATTTGTCTAAAACCACTTCCTATTACCGTTAACATCTAGTTATTACCTAGTAAAAGAGAAAAATCGCCCCAAAATAATTTTAGTCAAATTTGAAATTATTTCGTATATCAATACGCCTGAGATACATACGTAATAAGCGAGGCGAAATGAATTTTTTCAACCAAGTACTTTTCGCAACACATATTTGAACTAAACTCAAAAATATTGAAAATTAGCTTATCGGAAACTAATTTCAAAAAGATATGGATTGATTCGCTTTTCCATTTGTTGTAGTGTCTACCTCAGATCCACCTCTATTGTGACCTTTACTGCTCAATCTTTTGTTTGTCAATTTGAACAAACCAATATAACAAAAGTTCCTTTCGTATTAATCGCTATTTCTATTATTTCAGATTCCGATATACAATCGCCGGTCAGTTTAATGGTCATTCTCATAGAGATGACTATACACTTTACTTTGACTCCAAGAATACCTCTCAAGTTATTGGGTCGAGTTTTAATGGTGGAAGTGTACAACCTGGAGTTAATCCTAACTATGTCGTATATAAAATTGATCCAACAAATTATGTAAGAGACTACTATATTTTATACTGCAAACCAACTAAGTGAAACTTACAAGCGGTAAATTGCAATTTTTCATTAAAGTCTTCGAAGGTCGCAATATTATCTGGAAAATTTATAACCTTTCAGTATTGATTATGAATAAGTTTTAAAAATGACAGCTTAGTATCGCAATTAATTGTAATGTGCTTTAATAGTGATTTATTCTTTACTGTGCCAAAAAGAAAACATCACTCGTGTGTCTATCTGTCCGATTTTTACCAATATCGCTTCCACTTTATTAAATGCTGCCTTTATCTCCTAATATGCTGTATCATTCGTAAATCTAAGAATGTTAATATTTTAGACCTCTATATCTATCTCTAAAGCTTCCCTGTCTTTAATAATATTGATCATATTATCAACAGACATATAAATGAACGGTGACAATGTGGATCTTTTACTGTTGAATTTAATCAAGCTATATATCACTCTTTTCTATACCTGTATTTTATTGGTACATTTTTAAGTATTTTTAACATCTTGTCCTATTCAACTTTTCCAAAAACTTTTTCTAAATCTACGGATGTAGAGGTAATATAACAGGTTATGAAATGAATCTTGGCCTTGGGTTGCTCATTGTAAAGCTAAGATGTTGTCACGCTTTCTCCTGTTTCTTCTCGCTCTTCCACTGAATAATACCTATATGTTCCCCCTTGCTTCCATCCTTCTCTGTACGATTCTTGCATGGAAAATTAAGCTAATTATTCCAAAATTCTTGCATCTAATCGCACCTCTCTCTTATATCAATTTTATAAATATATATAACTGTAAACACTAAAATTTATACTGTACAGAAACAAATTCAAATGGTCGAAAAAAAAATTTGTTACAAACTACAAATAACATTTCAACCACACCATCTTTAGTGTAATAAATTTGAAAGATGAGGGGTTAATCAGGTTTTTTCTGCTTTTATTACATTAACAACTTCGAGATTTTGATCTAAATCAAATGAGCGATTAGTATTTAAAAATTGTGACGCTATCGCAAATTTTTATGGCTTATTGTTTTGTAAATCAAGAAAAAGCTCTTTATATTTGGTAACACTTTTGGAATTTTTTGGATTAAAGGCAGTCACTGAAAAGGAATCCTGGGTGTTCAATCTGACTGAAGCCAATAAAACCCCCGACAAACCACCGACTTGGTTTAAATTATACGATTTTAAGAAAGACTTCGGCTTAAAAGATTTGTCTCTTCAGTCTTTGTACAGTCTGGTTCAACAGATGGCACAGAGTGCCGCATTACGAGAAAATTACGTCAGGTATAATCAGAAAAATTTTTTTAGTAAATATAATTACAATGAATGTTTTTTTGCGTATGTTTTTAGGTACCGGTATAAAGGAGAAGAAGTACAATGCGATGATTCATGTTATCAAAACGTTCTTTGTAGAATTGTAACATCAGAATTAGGCGATAATACACAGTGCAATGAAATAAAAGAACTCTATAAATAAATATTAATAATTTAATTCAATATAAATAAAAACAGCATACCCACATTTAACAAAGACTTTTTATTCATTAAACAAATATTCTATAGTTACTCCTTTAACTTTAATAATTAACCAAAGATAAGCTTATTCTAATAAGTTATCTGAGTACCTACCCCTTACTTTTTATTCTGGCTTATTCCTTTCATTGTGACAGCAAGGCAAGAATAACCTAATTTTAGTACCTGAAAGATCAGTCAATAATAAGTAAAGTAAAAACAAATACTTATCAACGGTTTTCGAATATTTTACCTGAATAAAAGTGTAAATAGTTATTGGGAAAAATTTTCCTAACGTCAAGTGAACAGGTTTTTGCAAACGCAAAAGAATAATCGTCATGCACTTCTTGTAACACTTACTAGTTGCTAGCCAGTTGGTTTCATACAAAGCAAAGGCAATCGACTTAACCTTTAAAATACAACACAATTATCCCAATAATTTCTTATTTGAGGCTATTTTAAGACAAGAAAAATAAAGCGAATATTTCTTACTAATAATTTTAAATAGTGCAATAGAAAAACAGTAGTTATTCACTGCCGCGAGACTGTCGCCTTGATTAGTTTTGGATCTCGATACCACTACCAGCTTCTACGGCAACTAATGGAGATTTAACGTGCGACCCCGTACCATTTAATGGCAACATTCACACGTCAAACCAACACAGCTGAGCCGTGATGGAATGAAGACGACTCCCTGGGGTCTCCGTTCCGTCAGACGGATTGGTCCCAGGAAGCCTCCGATGCGGTGCCTGAGGGTTAACGAGGCGAGTAACCCCCAAGTTCAGGCCTATCTACACCCTCAAGCGTTCAATGTAGGGACTACCCAACGAATCTGGCGTTCCGCTGCACAGCTCCCTAACCCAGCATGCGGGCTGTATCCAACTGCCACCTTGAATCCAACATCAATTGGTGGAGCAGGAATCGAAGCTACACTCCTGGGGCTCCCCCACCTCCCGAGTACCAGTATAGGCTCTCCGGTCGCCATCAGCTACTCCGAAGCACCCCTCGCTGGGTGACATCCGTTTTACCGTATCCGCGCCATCACCGGACATACTTCAGCCTCCTAGCTCGCCCGAACTACCTATGCTTTTCGCCTCTACTCTGATTTCGCCACACAAGTGTGCAGCCACCCTAAAGGGTCAGACTGCACACCCGAACCACATAGGACTCGGACATTCCACTATGCTTCACGTCATAACCCTCTTAATGGGTCAGGTTACCCTGTACTCTGTGCCACCGCCTGATGCGCACCCCTGCCAGAACACTTACTTCGCCTTGAACATGGGTAGGACCGAGAGAGCCTCCCTTTCGACTCGGCAGGCTTTATTGTGAGAGGAGAGCAGAGACCCTCGCGTTAGCCTACCTAGTCTGTGCTGGGCTTACATCGCGTTCGAATGCCAGCTGCCGCGTACTTTCCCCTCAGGGCTTCCGCGGCTTCTTCTGGCACACCAGACGGGTGTTTCCGGACCTTCGACCATGTCCGTCGGCTGCTTCCCACAATCACTTTTGCTTCCAGATGCCCGGGAGTCGTTTAGCTTCGCCATAAGTATGGGTACTGAGCCCCCCCAGCGCGACAAAGTGAGGACCTTAGGAGGGAGCTTCTACTGCAGACATCTCTTAGTCCCCTAGTGCATGAAACGAATTTTCACCGTACGTCTATCCGGATAAATTGCCGGAGCTTGTACAAGACACCATTCCGCCTAAAACGGCATACGAGCGTCGTGTGCAGTAATTTTCCCCACAAAAAGCTGTATGGCGAAAAACCCGTTCTGGCCACTGTGGACTATGTAGCTAAATGGGGACCACATGGGAACACTTCACTATACGATCGATTCGTCAGATAGAGACGCTATGTTGCAGATATATTAATTTCATCGCAAAAACACCAAAAATTTTGTTCGGATAAAAAATATACAAAATTCTTCGAAAAGTAACCATTTTGTGTTAGCCATAAAAAACGTATATTTTTCATGTAAAAAATTGTAAAAAAAACAAATCCTAGGATAGGAGAGTCGGTTTTAAATCATCATAAGGTCGCCAGTCCTAAGACTGGTTGGACACACACCTCCACTCTTTCCTATCGTGAGCTAATCTTAGCATTTTCCTAAAACCAGAACAACCCACATCCTTAAATGTTTGCGAACAATAATCTAATCTAGGTCTACGTCAACTTCTCTTAACTCCTGTTTCTGCCTCTAATATGTCTCTGACTAGACCTGAAAAGGTGTCCTACCAACCTATCTCGCCTATTTCTTATTGACTTCCATAGAGTCCTCTGTTCTCCTATTCTTTCTAATACCTCTTCATTTCTAACCATCTCTATCCACGGTATCCTCATCATTCGCCTTTAACACGACATATCGAACGCATTTTCTTTTCCGCCGCTCCCACTGTTCATGTTTCGCACCCGTACAGTGCCGCGCTCTAAACATACTCTTTTTCGAATTTCTAAATTAACCGTTCGCGAACATAGAAGTAACTTCTTTTTATTGTAGACGACTCTTTCCGTCATTACTTATCTGACTTTCTAGATATCTAAAATCAGTCACTCTTCTAATTTTTCGTTTCCTATCTAGCTCTTTCCCTAGGATATAAAAATCCATCTAATCATTAACATTTACCATCTAATTAAATCACATTTTTCAGTTGATTGATGTCACAAACGGTCAGTTTCAAAACATTTATAAATACGATATTTTAATTCAAAAATTAAATAAATTTGATAAAACTGGAGTCTATAAACTGGAGTGTCCGGAATATGATTCCTTTTATTTAGGAGAAAGGGAAATATCTTTTATTAGCTGTCTTTTGTATGTAGTTGCTAACGCGATACTAAAGTGAACACCAACATCCTAATTATATTTACATACATAAGATTACAAAAAGGCACATAGGGACATCGATCCTTATTGCGGTGTTCACTGAACTTTCACAGGTAGCTAGGTTTATGCTTACAGTATCATCAAGAAATTGAACTTCTGGTCAATATTTCGGGCCAAACACCCAAAGGTTAAGTAAAAAGTAAAGAGGAAAGAAAGACTTGCCTAGACGCAATAAACATTATTAATAGAACCAGAGAATCCCTAATTTCAATAAAGCAACAGGAAATTGTACTTAATTCTAAACTTAATAGGAAGTGCCCGGAAGCAATAACATTTACCAAAAAGAGAATACGGCATACGTATCCACCACCTAAAATCAAAATTGAAGATACAGCCACTGACTGGAGGAACGACGTAAAACACCTTGACATCACCCTGGACAAACACCTTTCGCTTACACCACACATAAACAATATTATCAAACACTGTAAACAGAAGATGTATCGACTCCACCCTCTACTGCAAAAAAGTAACAAACTGTACTACTTCAGAAAATCCACATAGTTAAGACAATTCTAATACCATCGATCATCTACGGATGTCAAATATGGAAACTGCAACGATATCTAGCTTACCAAACTAAAGACCCTTAGAAAAATCGCAGGTGCCCCCTTGCTACATATCAAATAACCAAACCCTCAGAGATTTCAAATTCCCTCACTTAGTGAATCTAATTAAAAAATGTAGATACAAACCAACTACAAATTAGCTTCAACACTCACTCAAATCTACTAATTCTATCTTCAAGACGGAAACAAGTGAATATATTGTGGACAACCTTTAAACCAAGAATTTAAGAGCACACAGGATAAATCACGTATTGAACGTTTAAGGAAAACATCTTCCGAACTCAATGAAATCCCATCGACAATTAGAGCGCTATCTGCGTCTGACAGTATCGACAAAATACTGACCATCATGAACTTCTTTGTTAGATTTTGGTAACGTGTCTATCACGTATGGTAAACTCGCCGCGGATTCAGTTCATCAAGCATATCTATCATTGTAAATGGCCTTTATTGAACATATTGAATTCCACTAATGTAACATTGCATTACTGATGATGTTTACCGCGCCGTTTGTAAGATGTCATAGTATATCGTATGTAATGCCTTTTTAAAATTATTAGTAGGTGTAAAAGTAGTGCGTTGGGTAATGGAAGGGCTTTTAAAATTTAGGAGGTTTAGCTGAGACGATTCATACCACTGTAGAACGCTAAGATGCGCTGTGCAATGGTAAGGTACTATTTCATTAATTTGTACTTTGTACACTCTTTAAGATTGTTTTACGATTCTCAACTATTGTATGGAGTGGTACATTCTTTGCATAAATAATTGCCATTTAAATTTTATGATTTTTATGAACTATTGCCCATAATTTCAATCTTCTGACATAGGTCACTGACACATAAGAAGTATTCACTTGTAAAAAAAAAACTTTCATTAAGTTTCTTACAGATTCAGTTAGCCTGTTTCCATAATAACAAAGGAAAAACAGAGCACCCAAGAGTGTCACCAGGAAAACAGCATACATCAAAAATTTTTCATTTGTTATCGGCGTCTATAAAAAAGTGAATCTAAAACATTCGAATTAACTTTAAACATTTTACATACATTAACAACTGTTATCAAAGAAAAGACAATTAGTACAACCGAATGCAAGATAGTTACAAGGAACATTTTGTTAAAGGATTTTTCTATAAAACTGCAGTACCTGTAAGAAAAAATGAAACCATTTAATAACAAAAAATGTATTTTGTAAACTAAAATAAATTGTTTCTTACTCAAGGGCCGACGTCAAATAAATTCCACAATTCTTAATGCTTTTTTGCATTTCTATATTAATTTCATCTTCAATTCTCATTTTAAAAGGAACCTTTTTTATCATTATGTTTTTGTAACATCGTTTATATGTAGTCCTGAATACATATTTAAGAATTTCAAAATGAGCAATTCCAAAGCAAATTGAACTATACACAACTCCATCAAAGCCTATAAACAAAAATGATTTCAATTGTACAAACCCTATATAACGAAACTTAGGGAACTGTACATTTTGCTTAATTATCATAAGTATAGTTATATTGTAGCGAGCACGAATGTGTTTGTGTGCGATCGGGCAGACGTGTGCGT